GTATATATAATTATGAAAAGAAATAAATTTCTACACAATTGGGCATATGGCCGCATGGGCTTGTATGAATCTCCAAAGAAACATGCAAAAGATAAGTATACATGTAGAATTGCAAAAAAGAACAAAAATATTTTGTTTGTACCAAAAACTCCAAATGATAGACTACTCATAACAATATCCTTTTCACATGGGAGACAACAATGATAGACTAATGCACCTAGTGTTGGTCAAAGTATAATTCAACTTATGTTAGACTAATTTCCTAATAATATGATTATCTCATACAATTTCATAATCTAATATTAGTTAGACAAGAAATACCTAATTCAAATTTAAAACATGATTGTTAGCTACTACTTATATTAATTAATTATGTATTTTATTATGGACTCGCCATTTTCATTGCTTATGGAAAAGTAGATTTCCTAGTCAAGATTTCGAGCAACTTTTGCTATTAAGTCCCAAATATTGGCGTGAATGTAACGATGTCCGTCAGGACCATGTTAGACGAGCTTGAGTTGACTCAAGCTCAATAACAACGGACCTCATTATTATAGGTTCAAGCTGAAATACCATTGGTCTTCATAATTATAAATTAAACTCGGCTCATTTATTTATTCGGGATTTGGGTTCATATCGGGCTTTTATTGAGCCATTGATAAATTACATACTTTATAACTATGACTCAAATATAATCGGGCTGAACCATCGGGTTTTAATTAGACTCGACTAAATTACTGACACCCAATGTAGAAGCAACAAGTTGTAATCTATGATACTATAGTTTAATGTTTTAATTTTTTGAATACTTGTGGCAAAATCTTAAACGACAGTTATTTTGAATCGACAGAGGTGCATTACCTAATTGCCGAAGCATAACTTTGCTGCGATTAGAAGAAAATGTTGATAATTTAACGATAATTGTGTCATATATATATATATATATATATATATATATATATATATATATATATATATATATATATATATATATATAGATAAGAAAAAAAAAAGGAAAAAGAAAAGGAGTGTAAAGGTGTCACCTAGGGGCCCCTCTTGGGGGTGGGGGTTTTGACCCCCATGGGAGTGGCCTTTATTGAGGGCGTGATTGATGGCAATACACCTCCAAGATTTCTTAATTCTCACTCTTGCATTAAAGTTGTGAATTGTGATTCACATTATACCTGATTTTTTAGCACTCCTATACTTTATTTATTTCTTTTTTTCCAATCGACGCGGTTTGAATTTCAAATTATATTAGATTTATGAACGCCAGAAGAATATATATATTTAATATAAAATAAATGTATTTAATGATGCAACATACTATGAAATTAAATATTATATATAAACTAATAATCGTATGGGGGTACTCCAAGCCCATTATAATTAACAATAATTTATGTTTTAGAATATTTATTTAAAAAAAACATTTATGAATTGTGATGCAAAATGCATAAAATCACACACGTCAAATTTACAAAACTACCCCCATCAAAAAAGAAAAAAATTGGGTAAATTTCACTTTCCTTATGTACTCTACCTCAATATCACTTTACCCCATTCTACTGTCGATTTGCCGTCGTGGACTATGCTCTCTCGTTGTCTTGAAATTTTTTATTTGTTTAATAATTATTTAAACAGGGAAGGGTGGCGTTTTTGTAATTTCAGAGATTAGACAAAACTGTATTACAATAAAGTGTCTGACAACTAAACAGCGAGGACCACGTTGAGACAATTTTTCAAGTGCATAGGTGACAAATTGATGCAATCGAGAGTAGAATAAGGTAAAGTGATACCTAACCAAAGTACAAGGGAGGAAAAGTGAAATTTGCCTGAAAAAATATATATTCATATATAATCCTGCTCTCGTTCGATAGTCCACAAATTATACATGAAGTTTAAACTGCTCTATGCAAATCCTTTGTAATGAATAATGATATTAACCTAAAAATGTTGCCAAAAAGAATAGAACTCGAATAGTCAAATAATGCGCTTCTCTTATTCCACCAAATAGTCGAGAAGTTAAATGATGCACCTAGTTATTTACATTGAATAGATTTGAACCATATATTTGATGAAATAACTATCCATTAAAAGTCTTCCGTTTCGACACGG